AATGCCAGAGAGCAACACTGTGACCCACCTCCACTCACACCAGCGTGAGACAGCAACACAGTGACACCACCTCCACTCACAACAATGCCAGAGAGCAACACTGTGACCCACCTCCACTCACATCAGCGTGAGACAGCAACACAGTGACACCACCTCCACTCACAACAATGCCAGAGAGCAAAACTGTGACCCCACCTCCTCTCACACCAACCCCAGAGAGCAACACTGTGACCCACCTCCACTCACACCAGCGTGAGACAGCGACACAGTGACACCACCTCCACTCACAACAATGCCAGAGAGCAAAACTGTGACCCCACCTCCGCTCACACCAACCCCAGAGAGCAACACTGTGACCCACCTCCACTCACACCAACGTCAGAGCAACACGGTGACCCCACCTTCATGCCCACCAAGGCCTGGGGACAACACAGTGATGTTGGGTGGTAAATGCCACAGCAGAGCAGTGAGGGTCACCTGCCCAAAGGGCGAATCCTCCAGGAAGGTAGCCGAGGAGCAGCCACTCCATCATGCCCTTGTTTCAAGCGCATTTTCTGCTGCATACTGAATTCCATCCATTAAAAGGTTTGGGAAGCAGAATGGAAAGTGGCCCGTAACTGTGGCTGTCTGAGGCTCTTCTGGTGGGACCCAGTCTACTGGAATCCTCCTCTGTCTCTGTGGAGTTTTTGAGGCATCTCTGCTCCCACAGCCGTGTTGTTCAGGACAGGACAGGTGGGCATGGGGCAGCAGGTGGCACTGTGAGGCATGGTGGCTATGGAGTCCCCAAGTCTGCAGGAGGAGCTGCTTTATGTGGTGAGGGTGATGCCCATGGCTCCCATTCATTCAGCACAGCCAGCAGCTGGCACTGCCCAGGACACCAGTGCAGCCCTTACTGCCATCTCCATAACAGCCTCGGGGCACAGTCCTCCCACCGTTTCCATGGAGATGTGATTCCTACAGCAGTATCCACATCTCATGGTATAGGGTATGGTTCCGTGGTCAGTCCATCCAGGGGCCATCCATCTCTCACCTCCATCTGGCTCTACTCCTCTTCCAATGAGAACGTGTGTCCACGAGCAGTGACTGTGCCTCCCTCCCATCCAGAACATGCTCAGAACACATGGGTTCTCCCCGACAAGAACCCACGTCCACCAGCAGTGACTGCAACTCCCTCCCAACCATAATACACTCAGAACACGCTTGTCTCCCCCACAGGAACCCGTGTCCTCGAGCAGTGACTACACTTCCTTTCCCAGTTGTCTTCTGTCTGTGGATGCACCTGCTCCAGACATTGCATATTAAATACAGCACAATCTTGGTGTCTGGTGTCCTTCCCTGAGCTGTCCTTCCCTGGGTGAGTGTGTTCCAGCCTCACCTCATGGCACATGTTAGACCTTCCTTCCTGTCTGTGGCTGGGTGACCCCGTGTGAATGGACCACGTCCCCTCTCTCTACTGTGGCCAGGAGATCCCAAGTGGATGGACCACGTCCCCTCCCTCTCTGTGGCCAGATGATCCTGTGTGGATGGACCATGTCCCCTCTCTCTGTAACCAGGTGACCCCGTATGGATGGACCACATCCCCTCCCTCTCTGTGGTCAGGTGACCCCCGTGTGGATGGACCACATCCCCTCTCCGTTCGTGGCCGGGTGACCCCGTGTGAATGGACCACGTCCCCTCTCTCTACTGTGGCCAGATGATCCTGTGTGGATGGACCACGTCCCCTCTCTCTGTAACCAGGTGACCCCGTATGGATGACCACTGTATTACTCTGTTTTCACACTGCTAATAAAGTGGAACCTGGGAAGATAAAGATGTTTAATTGGACTTACAGTTCCAGATGGCTGGGGAGGCCCCAGAATCACGGCAGGAGGTGAAAGGCACTTCGTACGTGGCAGCAAGAGAAAACGAGGAAGCAGCACAAGCTGAAATCCTGATTAACCCATCAGATCTCGGAAGACTTACTATCACGAGAATAGCATGGGAAAGACCAGCCCCTGGGATTCAATCACCTCCCTGTGGGTCCCTCCCACACACGTGGGAATTCTTGGAGATGCAATTCAGGTGCGGCCTGCAGCTGCTCTAGGCCCCCGCCCCTGAGCTGCAGGAGAAGGCTATCTCCTGTGCTGTCCCAGCAGGGCAGGGAGTGCAGGTGGGGCCACAGCACCCCAAACCCCCCAGCAACCCCTGCCCCACCATTGCCTCCACCCCATCTCCCGAGGGGCCAGTGAGACAAGTCTCCGGGAACAGCTGGGAGAAGCCTCCCGAGGCCTCCAGGGTCTCATTGGCCTCAGCTGTAAGTGGGAAGTGGGCAAGGGCGGGGTTGGGAGCCCACATCTCCAGGGGAGGCCGGGATCAGAAGGCCCCAGCTGAGCTCAGGGAAGGGGTTCACCAGACCGTGACCCAGGCTGGCAGAGCTTGGTGCCCCAGAGAGGCTCTGTGCATGGGAGATGGCACAGCCTGAGAGCAGCCAGAGCCCTGTGCCCAGTGGGAGCTGCCCTGGGCCTGGGAGAACCTTTGGCCACTACCAGCCAAATTGTTCACATTCTTTGTGGCTAGGGTAAAGGATAAAGACATTTTTGTGGCAAGAACAAAATTGTTGACCTTGGAGTGTAATATTTGTGAACTGATTTGACTCTAGAATAAAAGACCAAGGCAGGGAAGCTCCAGGTTGTGTTTGGGGGAAGCTGGTGAGGGCAGCCTCGGGGAAGCACTCTGATGCCCCCACCCCACACCCTGTGGCTGAGAAGGAAAGTTATACCTGTGACTTTGGGGCCAGGGCTCCAGTGGGCAGAGGCTGCCAGCCCCGACCTGACTCAGCTTCTCTGCTGTTCACACCCCTATGACAAGGGACCCAGGGGCATAGGTCAAGCTCCAGACTGCCCAGGCCACAGAGAACCACCCACACGAGCCATGGCACCGTCAGTGCCCACAGAGCCTCCCTGAGGTAAACTGGGCACCTCGGGGGCTCGGAAAATCCATGGCACAGTTTTCTTCCCTCCTGGCACTCATGAGTGCGTCTCCCATGGTCTCCAGAAACCTCTCGGTCTCTGCTGCTTGTTGAGCTTCTTGCTCGGAGCAAGGCACCTGCAGCCCTGGGGAAACCTGGCTGTGAGTTTCCAGACGGGACGCGGCTCCTCTGCTCATGTCCAGTCTCCTGGACTGGTTCAAGGCCAGTCAGACCTGAGGAGAGGTCAAGACCACATTCTCCTGGACAGCAAGCTGGTGAGGCTGGATTTAATAAAGAAAAAATGATAAACAGCGTCGGGTTCACAGACCGGAGCTGGCTGCAGGCTTTTCAGAGGTCCACTGGCGCTCCCAGGCCCCGCCTGCTGCCATCGGTGTGGACGTGCACTGCAGTTTCTTGTTCCCGGGAGCGCTAGACACAGGATGAGCCCCTCCGTGGGGCAGAGGGAGGCTCCCAGCCAATGGAGTGGGCAGGAGGCTGTGTCTGCACGAGCGTGGCCCCTCAACCTTATCTTTTTTTCCCAGACCCAGGACTGGGCAGGGAAGGAAGGGCCTGCTGCACCTCCAGGTGGGCGCTGTCCCGTGAAATAAGCTGGAGACCTCAGACTCACTGGGCACATCTTTATTGCAGGCATGGGTGGGGCTATGGGGGGCTTTGCAGGGAGGGAAGTGAGGCTCCGAGAGGGGCAAGACCTGGGGTGCCAGCTTGGCTTCTTAGGGGAGAGGGAGTGACTGGGGAACCATGAGTGGCCCCGCAGAGCGGAGACGGAGACTCGATGGCTTGTGACGTGTCTGGGGAGCAGTGGGGTCACCTCTTGCCTCCCCTCCTGCCAGGGGAGCCCATGGTTCCTTGTGGAGAATCTGACTTTAGGAGTTCAGAGAAAGCCCCTCCCCTATCCACTGCTTTTCAAGAGACTTCGGCTACTTCTGGGCGGCGCATCCTGAACTCTTGCCACTGGGGCACAGGCCTGTGACCCCCGGGACCTGCCACTTCCCAGGCGCACTCACACGTCTCCGCAGGTGTGTCTGGCAGGGTGCATGCTGGGCCCGAAGAAGCTAAGGGAGTGCTTAGCTAAGTTTCCATAGGGAGTGCTGCACCCTCAGACCCTGAGCCGAAGGACCCCGAAACACTGCCCCCATCGTCCCAGCAGCCAGGGGTCCTCAGATGCGGTGCCATGAGGAGCAGCTGTGGAAGGACAGAAGCCCTGGTGCCGTAGCTGGGAGACAGCTCAGGAGAGACCCTCGCACCAGTGGCCAGGGTGGATTTGCGTCCGGGGCCGGGAGACATGCGGACCCCCAGATTCTGACAACTTTGGGCGGTTAGACAGTGCTGGGCATAGGAGCCGAAGCGTCCTTCCCTTCGCAGTGTACAGTGTACGTCAGGAGCACAGTACGGGGGGCAGGTGGGTTGCCCGGTCCTGCCCTTCTCGGGGACACAGACGCACACGTGAACGTGTAACGCCCAACACACCTGCAAACAGGAGCCCACAAGCAGGGAGGCATGGGGCCACACCCTCCTTGCAGATGACAATAATGGATAATTTAGGGAAGAGAACACACCAGAACAGCGGCTCTCAAGAGGACGCCAGGTGGGGCCGTTCAGGGCCGTTTGGTGTGAGCAGAGCCCACACAGAGGAGGTACCAGCCTCGGTCTGCAGGGACCGGCTTGCCGCCAGGTGGCGGCCCCCTCACCAATGTGCTCAGGGAGGGAAGGAAGGCAGGGACTTCATGCCAGACTTCTGGAATGTTCTCCTGGGTTCTCTAGGAGGTTAGCTGAATAGCGGGATTTCTAGAGGCTGTTTTTTTTGTTTTTTTTTTTTTAAGCAAAGTTAGTTTTCACTCTACACTTCTGTGTCAGGGTGCATACGGGGGTGGCTTCTCTCCCGGGGGAAAATAGGCTGGTGCATAGCGGGGTGGGGCCTGGCTGGGAAGCCCAGAGCTGGAGCTGCTCAGAGAGGGAGTGTGCAGGTCCTCAGATGAGGCCAGGGCGGAGGAGGGCGTAGCTGGGAAGCCGAGGCAGGGCTGCAATAAACAGAGAGGGTCCCGGGTCAGCAGGTGAGACCCCCGCACTGGAGCCCAAGGAAGCCAGACAGATGTCAGGGCCACACCCCCAGGCCCCTGCAGACCCAGAGCCTCTCCCACAGGCCCCTGCAGACCCTGAGCCTCTCCCACGGGTCCCCTGCAGACCCTGAGCCTCTCCCACGGGTCCCCTGCAGACCCTGAGCCTCTCCCACGGACCCCTGCAGACCCTGAGCCTCTCCCACGGCCCCCTGCAGACCCTGAGCCTCTCCCACGGGTCCCTGCAGACCCAGAGCCCCTCCTACGGGCCCCTGCAGACCCAGAGCCCCTCCCACGGGTCCCCTGCAGACCCAGAGCCTCTCCCACGGACCCCTGCAGACCCTGAGCCTCTCCCATGGCCCCCTGCAGACCCTGAGCCTCTCCCACGGGTCCCCTGCAGACCCTGAGCCTCTCCCACGGGTCCCCTGCAGATCCTGAGCCTCTCCCACAGGCCCCTGCAGACCCAGAGCCTCTCCCACGGCCCCCTGCAGACCCAGAGCCTCTCCCACGGGTCCCCTGCAGACCCAGAGCCCCTCTTACGGGTCCCTGCAGACCCAGAGCCTCTCCCACGGGCCCCTGCAGACCCAGAGCCTCTCCCACGGCCCCCTGCAGACCCAGAGCCCCTCCTACGGGTCCCTGCAGACCCAGAGCCTCTCCCACAGCCCCCTGAAGACCCAGAGCCTCTCCCACGGGCCCCTGCAGACCCAGAGCCTCTCCCACAGGCCCCCTGCAGATCCAAGGCCACTGGAAAGAGCAGTTCTGGCCCTGGCACAACAGGAGAGGGTGGCTGGGGCCTCACTGGCACAACCTTGGCTTCCGCAGCTGCACACGGAGTGGACACCCCAGGAAGGCTGGGCCCACAGCACATTCCACTTCCTCACAGCAAGGGAGACTCTGGCCTCACTCCAAAATGGCCAGGGGCCAACAGGCATCACCCAACACTTCACATGTAGGAAAGGCCTGCATGGGAACCCCTGCGTCCAGCAGTGTGTGGCTGGTTCGGTGTCACCGTGGCTGACCCAGGGGCTCCGACACCAGTCTGGGTGCGGCTGTGGAGGCGCCTTCGGGTGTGACTGACATGTAATCAGTCGACTTTGTGTACAGCCCCTCGTCTCCACTGCAGGCCTTAAGGAAAGGGGCTGCAGTCCCCAGGAGGAATGGACTCTGCCCAGCGGCCTTGGGACTCCCAGGCAGTATCACCCTCCCCAGTCTCAGCCCCCTCCCTGTGGTCATGCACCTGCAGCCCCACAGTTGCCAGCCAGGTATTCAGAATCGACCGATCGAGCTCTCTTCACAGAGAGGGCCCCACGTTCCCCAGTGGGCTCTGCTTCCTTCATGAGCCCTGACTCTCATACACGGCCCCACTCAGGTGATGGTGGGAGCAGAACGGTGAGGAACGGCACAGATTTGAAATCAGTCAATTCCAGCGTCCCTCCAGCTGCCAACACACATCTTAATTCTTTTATTTTTTTCTCCCTTAAATTCTAGGGGCTAAAAACCTCTTTCTTGAAATCAAATTTTAAATAAACTCTAAGAAATAACACAGGCTGAGTTTTTTAAACTCCAAGCTACCAGATGTGCAGTGTGCAGTGTGCTCACGTTGCACCAGGTCACAGGATCCCAAGAAGCCAAGGACCCAGCTGCCCGTCTGAGCCCCGGCGTGCAGGGCCCCCCAAAAATTCAGCTGCCTGTCTGAGCCCTGGTGTGCAGGGTCCCCCAAAAATCAGCTGCCTGAGCCCTGGCGTGCAGGGTCCCCCAAAATCCAGCTGCCTGCCTGAGCCCCAGCGTGTAGGGTCCCCCAAAAATCCAGCTGCCCGTCTGAGCCCCGGCGTGCAGGGTCCCCCAAAAATCCAGCTGCCTGCCTGAGCCCCAGTGTTCAGGGTCCCCCGTGAACCCAGCTGCCTGTCTGAGCCCCGACATGCAGGGTCCCCCGAGAATCCAGCTGCCTGCTTGAGCCCTGGCGTGCAGGGTTCCATGAGAAGCTTCTCCCTAGAGAGCCCTGCATTGCAGACACCCTGGGAGCCAGCAAGACCTCTGGATCCTGAGAGGAGAATTTCTACACGGGTGTAGGTAAGGCTGAGAATGGGGCCCTTGCTCAGAGAGACTGTGATGCTGAGGCTGACAGCCAGGCTCGTGGGATCCAGTGGCTCAGGGATGCCTGCCAACCTCATTTCTTTCTACCCCTGAAACTCACACAGGTTTCCAGCCACAGGCGACAGAGTGAGAAACTAGGGAATATCAAGTCTGCTGGGAGCTCCCATTTTCCACCTCCATAGTGTTCACTCTGTCCTTCATGACAGATGAGCCGTCAAGGAAACTGAGGGGTAAACCCCAGGAACCCATGGAGTAACCCCCAGAACCCATGGAGTAAATCCTCAGGACTATGGAGTAACCCCCAGAACCCATGGAGTAAACCCCCAGGACAAGGAGTAACCCTCCAGGAGCCACCAAGTAAACTGCCAGAATCCATGGAGTAAATGCCTAGAACCCATGGAGTAAATCCCCAGAATCCACTGAGTAACCCCCAGGAACCACGGAATAACTGCCCCCAAGAACCACGGAGTATCCCCCAGGAACCAGAGTAACCCCCCAGAATCCACAGAGTAATCCCCCAGGAACCACAGCCTAAACCCTCAGGAGCCCATGGAGTTAATTCCCAGGAACCACTGAATAAATCACCAGGACCATGGAGTAGCCCCCAGAACCCACGGAGTAACCCCCCAGAATCCATTGAGTAAACCCCACAGGAACCCATGGGGTAAACCCCAGAACCCATGCAGTAACCCCCCCAGAATCCATGGAGTAATCACCAGAATCCACAGAGTAAACCCCAGGACCACGGGGTTAACCACTGAATGGACAGGGCCCCCCTAGGGACAGGCCCTGCCCACGAGTAACCTCAGAGGAGAAGGAACGGCACGTTTCTTAGTAACGGGACGGGAACTCATCCTCTGCTGTGATGCCACGTCCTCCCTGCACTTCATCCCAGCAAGCTGCAGGGTGCAAGGAAGGTGATCTCTTTAAATTGTCCTTTTTACTAACTGCTCAAAACAACCCTCAAGTCCGCGTTCCCCACCACTCACTGTCTCTTATGTAGGAGTATTTTTTGCAGCTAGTGGCTTCCACAGAACACCCTAAATATTCCCTCTCCATCTCTGTGGAAGCAGAGCTCCTCCTCTGTTGCTCTTCTGAGGAGCACATGAGCCTCATCTGATTTGCGATCTCCAAAATATGATTATCAACATGTGCATATTTTGCTCCCACACACGCTGGCACAAAGACTGGCTGCACCACGGGGGCCCCAGCCCTCCCCCGCAGAAGAAGAGGAGAACATCCTGCTTTTGTGTAGTGCGACAGGGAGGACCCTCCCCAACATCCCGTAAACCCATGTATGATGGGGAGGACCATCCCCCACATCCCGTAAACCCACATGTGACAGGAAGGAGCGTCCTCCATATCCTGTAAGCCCACGTGCGACAGGGAGGACCATCCTCCACATCCCGTAAACCCACATGTGACAGGAAGGAATGTCCTCCACATCCTGTAAGCCCACCTGTGACGGGGAGGACCATCCCCCATATCCCGTAAACCCACGTGTGATGGGGAGGATCATCCTCTACATCCCATAAGACCATGTGTGACAGGGAGGACCACCCCCACATCTTGCACCTCTGTGGGGCTCAGGGGCAGGGAGGAGGCACCTGCCTGAGGGAGTCACCACCCCCTCTCCCCACAAAGCCAGCTCTGCAGGGAAGATGGTTGGGAGGTCCCAGGATGCAAACTTAGAGAAGCCAGGCCCCGCACAGCCAGAGCTTCAGACGGTGGTCCCCAGCACCAGGGCAGCCCAAACAAGCCCTGGAGCCAGACGAGAGGAAGGGACTGAGGGACCATACATTCTCTTTCCTCTGGGGCCCCGAGGGGCTGTGGCTGAGGTTGAGGTTGAAAGACAGGCCGGCCACTCAGGCTGTGCTCTGGGCTGCAAGTTCCCGGCATTCATGTGATTCCCAGTCCATGTCTGTGCAGAGCCACTCAGGGAGCACCTGCAGGCCCAGCATCCCCGGAGACACCCCTGCCTCTGCAGGCCTCCTCCCCCTACCCCCGGGGGCCTCCTCCTCCTGCCTCTGCAGCCCTCCTCCTCGTACCCCTGAGGGCCTCCTCCTCCTACCCCTGTGGCCTTCTCCCCCTGCCCCTGGGGGCCTCCTCCTCCTGCCCCTGGTGGCCTCCTCCTGCCTCTGCAGGCCTCCTCCTCCTACCCCTGTGGCCTCCTCCTCCTACCCCTGAGGGCAGCATCCTCATACCCCTGGGGGCCTCCTCCTCCTGCCTCTGTGGGCCTCCTCCTCCAACCCCTGCAGCCTCCTACTACTACCCCTGGGGGCAGCCTCCTCCTGCCCCTGCGGCCTCCTTCTCCTGGGGCAGGGGCAGGAGGCTTGAGGGGAGGAGGAAGCTGCCTGTGGCACCACCCAGACATGCCTGCCCACGGGGGTCACTGGCAAAAGCTCCCGCCATCTGCTGACACTGGGACATCTTCCCGTGTGACAGAAATGGAAAAGGCGCTTCCAGGCCAGACCTCCCCCAGGGGACTTGCATTCCCAGGGCAGGGCCCCAGCTTTACATTCAAAGTAGGAGAGGAAACAGGCCTGGAGCGAAGGGGTCCCTCCACAGGGAGATGGTGTCAGGCGGGGGCCCTGGTCATCCCCACTGAGCCCAATAGCTGCTGTGTCCCAGGCAGGAGTGAAGGTGGCCACTCCTAGCAGGCCCTAGACGCCAGGGACCCCCAGCAGCCCCAGTTCCATGCATGCCAGTTCCCACTCCTACCCTGGTGCAGGTCCCCAGGGTTAGCTGAGGTCATGGCTCTTGGGCCCCACTCAAACCTGAGCCCTCTGCATCCTGGACATGACGGTGGGGTTGTGCACAGGCCTCCCCCGGATGTCACTCTAAGGATGGCCTGTTCCTTCAGTGTCATGTGTCGGGAGCAGGAATCCTTGCGGAACATCTGAAGACCTGTGTCACGTGTGACTTCAAAACTCATGACCCTCACAGTCACCCTGCCCTGCCCCGCACAGAAACACATCGTGGTGCGTGTTTTAATCTGCAGCTTCCTCGGGCTGCGCCGGACACAGATCTCTGTGCAGATGCTGCTGCCCGGAACACACACACAAGGACCTGCCAGTCAGTCGGGCACATGGTGGGGGCGGCACCTCCCACCCAGATAGGAAGCCCAGGTGTGTCAGGACCAGGGGTTCTCAACTGCATCCCCAGGGAACTCGGGGCCTGTCTGGGGGACACAGCTGGGTTGTCGCACCTGGGGGCTCCTGCATGCTGCAGGCAGAGGCCAGGGCTGCCCAGCACCCCCATCATCCAGGGTGCCCAGCCCTGAATGCCTGCCGTGCCAAGGTAAGAAACTTGGCACAGTCATTGTAGTGACGCTGGATTATCGGGGTCTGTTTCACCCGTGGCCATGGGACAGAGCTTCCTGACACAGAAGGCGGTTGTGCCCAGCAGTGGAAATGGGACAGGCAGGCAGAGGCTGCTGTCCCACTCACCCTCCTCCCCACAGGCAGAGGCCGCTGTCCCGCTCACCCTCCCACCACAGGCAGAGTTGCCACCGCCCCCCACCTCCCATCCCCTAAACCAGAGGGTGAGGCAGCTGCAGGGCCTAGTCCTCTCTGACCCCAGCCCCGTCCCATGCACCCCACTGCCTGCCACCAGCACGTGCAGCTCCAGCAGGTGATGCTGGCCCTACCTGAAGGGGCAGAGGGTAGGATGAGCAGGTCGGGACGGGCTCGGGCGTCGGGCGGAAGCCTGCGAAGGCCAGAATCTGCTGGGCAGGGTTGTAGAGGGTCTGTGGAGGGACGCCCGGGCCATAGGCCATCTGGGACAGAGGCACCTGCCGCGGAGAGACGGGTGGTCAGCATGCACCCCCCATGGAAGGAGGGGCTGTGCAGCCTTCCTAGAAAGCCCAGCACCCCTGACCCCCAACTCTCACGCTGGAGCTAACCCTGCCCTGGCATGCATTTACACTCAGGCTGGAGCTGACCCCGCCCCGGCGTGCGTTTACACTCAGGCTGAGTTACGCTCAGGCAGGGTTAGCTCCAGCCTGAGTATAAACGCACACCGGGGCAAGATCACCTCCAGCCTGGACACCCCAGCATGGGAAGCGAGCGTGGCGTCTGCGCATTTCTGTGTCCTGTCTACAATCTGGCTGTGGTTCCTCCTAGGACAGCCAGTGAGAGGAGACGCCGAGCCGTCAGGCAGAAGCCTTTGCCAGGAGACTGCGTGACCCCAGCAGACCCTTCCCGACCCCAGACTGCGGCTCCCCAACAGGCGCTCTCCACTGTCACTGCAGAGCAAGGGCCCCTGGGAGGGCGCCTGTCTTGTGTTGGTGTACAGGACTCTGGGGCCCAAGGTGAGGCTTGTGGGGCCACTGGGGCAGGAGCCAGAGGGCTGGACCTCAGGATGCCAGGGTCACTCTCAGCTTCGCCAGTTCTGTCTGGAAGCAGGGAAGTGTTGGGAAAAGGAAAGGCTGAGGAGCAGATGGCAGGAGGGCTCCAGGCTGAGTTACTTTTAGTAATGGACAGTCTGGGATGGCTCGGGTGTGGAGAGGTGGCTCAGAGGTGTTTGCTGCCTCGCTGGGCAGGGTCTGGCCTGCAGGACCTTTGTCTGCCTGGTGCTTCCCAGGCTCCTTGCGTGGGTGCAAGAGGGGGTGCCCCTCATCCCCGGCCTGCTGTTTGCATGTTCTGGGGCCCCGGGCTCCCTCACACCTGGCTGCCCGCCTCATAGCTACCATGCAGGCTCAGGGGGTGGGATTTCCTGGCAGGACACCACAAGAACATATAATTTGAAATGCATGCCAGGAGAGGGCAGAGGAGGGAGAAGGAAGAGGACGGTGGGCCCAGGCCAGCGATTTCCCTGTGGTTTCCTGGGCAAAGGCTGGCCTCTCAAGGACGGGTCCAGCCCAGCTCCTGTGATGAGCCCTGTCCTTTCCTCCTCCTGCCCAGGCTGTGTGGGTCTCGCCTCTAGGGTTTGTGAAGACACTGGCCCCAGCCCCACCCTGGACCTGCCCATCTGAAGCCTCAGGCGGCTGCTAGACAGGAATTTAGGGCACCAGGGCTGGGCCTCCCTCTTGGGAGCTAAACTTTGTTTCTTGGGGACAGGTGCTGACCTCAGCAGGGAGGCAAGGATTAAATCAGGTGATTCTTGTGGGGCAGGATGGCCCTGTGGTGAGCTGGTATGCACCCACTGTCGCCCTGACACCCTGCTCTGCTGGCAGACACATGGGCCTCAGTTGCCCATCTGTAAAATGAGGGCCAGGGACCCCCCCCCAGCCCACCCTGGGAGACGGGCCCAGAGCCCTGGCCCCCACCAAGAGGCCTCACCATGTCCTTGAAGGCCCCCAGGATGGCGGCGGTGATGATCCCCAGGAACAGGCCCAAAATGTTCAGAACTGCAGAGGCCCAGAGCAGGCGGTACAGGTGCAGGACGTCCTGGCAGCTGTGGACGCCGACGAACTCGTAGTAGGCGGGTGAGGGTTCCGCACTGCACAGAAAAGGCACCACAGCGTCCCCACAGCGTCACCACGTGAGCAAGTGACCACCGCAAGTTATACTTGTGGTCGGGTGACCTCTCGACTGAGCCCTGCAGGGCCGGGGGAGGAAGGCATGACTGGAGCCCTGCGCTGCTCTGGGGGACAAACCTACGTGTGATGGGATTGGCCCGTGAGGCCCCCACCTGCGGTCCACAGTGAGCAAAGAGCAGCAACCAGGCCGATGCCCATCCTCTGCTCGATGGCCCCCCAGAAACCACGGATATCTGGGCCCCAGCTGAGCCACCTCTGTTTTCACAGCAGGATGGAAGGCCGTCAGGGTCACAGGCCCCTGTCCTGAGATGGGCCCGGAGGCTGGGCCAGGTTTAAACTCTTGCCCAACACACGAGCTGTGTCCTCTTGGGCAGATCTACCTCCAGAGCCTCTGTCTTCTCATCTGCGAAATGTACACAATTTCCTTTCCTCACATAAACATCTAGGAGCAAAGGAGGCGATGTGGGTGAAGGGGTGTGGAGGTGATGTTGGGAGGGGAAGCTGGGGTCTCACCCCTGCAGGTGCCACACAGGGGGTCTCGCCCCTACAGCCACTGTGTGGGAGTCTCGTCCCTGCAGGTACCATGTGGGGGTCTCACCCCTGCAGGCACCGAGTGGGGGGTCTCACCCCTGTGGCCACCACACGGGGGTCTCACCCCTGCAGGCACCGAGTGGGGGTCTCGTCCTGCAGGCAGATACTCGGATCCACAGAACCCCTCACCTCCCGCAGGTGTACAGGTCACAGCAGTAGCACGTGTTGCTTCTCACCTTCAGCTGGCACTTGCCATTCAGGGAGTGACAGGTGACCTGGGGCAGAGAGGCCTTGTCAGGTCACACCCTGGTGCCCGCCACCTCATCCACCCCACCAAGGGCAGGGCTGCCTCCTGGGAGCTGGGAGTGGCCACTCGGGCCCAGCCAAGCCAAGTAGTTGCCCCTCCTGACTTTCCCCTGACTGTCAGGACTCAGGGGCCGGGACCCCTCCTGCAGGAGGATCAGGGGTGCAGGCTGGTCCCAGAGGCTGGATAAACGGGGCTCAGAGGAGAGGCCTCACTTCTCCATGATCCCAGGAGCAAAGGGAAACATCAGGGTAAGTGGAAGGAAAGAGAGCCCAGGAGGCCCTCGGGTGGGGTGCACAGAAGCCTGAGAGCCTGGGGCATGTCAGGACAGGTGCGTCCCAGGGCACCCTCCTTCAGGTTCCAGCACTGGCAGCCTCGGAAGAGACGCCTGCCTGCCACCTCCTTGTGACAACCGTGAAAGCCCTGGCCACAGGACACCCCCCCCACACACACCCCATCCTCCCAACACACACACACACACAGAGGACGCTCCCAGTGGCTGCTGGGGAATCCCAGACAAGCCGGCAGGTGCTAGCCACCCAGAGGGCCTCCAGCTCCTCCTCCTCTGACACCCATGCTCAGGACGAGAGGCCACATTTAGTAAAAGGTGGAAATCCACAGAGGGCGGGCGTGAGACACACAGCAATGTCACAGAGCTTCACCCTCGGAGGTCCGGAGAAGGCAGCAGCTGCCCTCAGGTCATTACTCCTCAAATCTCACTCACCTGCAAGGAGAAACAAGGCCACACCACACCGGTCGGTGGCTCAGGGAAATCCAGAAGTTTCTCAGACACTGTAAATGTATCATCCTTGCTTCTTATTGCAATAACTAAGTTAGAAAAAAGTGCTAATTGGGAGAGCCACACAGAACTGGACACATGAACTCTGAGATTGCTGTGATTTAAAGAAGCAAGCCTGGAGCTCTGACCGAGAGTGAAATACAGCACATCAAAGTGTCAAGGCCCCAAAACATATGGAGCCATCAGCAGCTCACCAGCCACAGTGGGGACATGCCGAGGTGCAGGGAAAACCGCATGGGGTCGGTGGGGTTAGCTGAGCAAAACCCACGTGAACCTCAGTGCTCCTGCTCACCTCTGTCTGGTAGACGTCGTACAAGTACCCCACCCCACTGGAGTAAAACTGGCATCTTCCCGTGGTGAGGGGCCTTGGTTCCTAGAGAAACACATGAACACAGATGGAATGAAATGGGTCTCTCCAGGCGGGAGAGTCCAGAGGCAACTTCAGGCCTGTGGGTCTCAGGATCAGGGCCTCAAGGAGCAAGGCCAACACTGACTCCAGCCTCCCAGACACAGCACAAGAGACAGAAGACTCCACGCTCCCTGCAGAGCAGCCAGGCTGCTGCATCCAGGAGGCCAGGCAGCAGAAAGCCCCACGGGAGGGTACCTTGGGCCACACAGGCTGGGCCAAGATGGGGAGACAGGTGCTTGGCCTTTTCAGGGGCATCCCTACCACCCCACACCACATCTTGTCCTAAAAGAAAACATTGTCTCTTCTACTAGGAAGGCAGCAAGCAGGATTTCAGACTAATGAACACACCCATCCCTCCATCCAATCAATCATCTATGCATCCACCCATTCCATCTTCCATCTTCCACATCTATCCATTCATCCATCATGCATCCATCATCCATCTTTCCATTCATCCACATCTATCCATTCATCCATCATGTATCCATCATCCATCTTTCCATTCATCCACATCCATCCCTCATCAATCTGTCATCCACCCTTCTATCCATCCATCATCCTACCTTCCATTCATCCACATCCATCCCTCATCTGTCATCCACCCTTCTATCCATCCATCCATCATGCATCCATCATCCATCCTTCCATTCATCCACATCTATCCATCCATCCATCATGCATCCATCATCCATCTTTCCATTCATCCACATCTATCCATTCATCCATCATGCATCCATCATCCATCTTTCCATTCATCCACATCCATCCCTCATCAATCTGTCATCCACCCTTCTATCCATCCATCATCCTACCTTCCATTCATCCACATCCATCCCTCATCTGTCATCCACCCTTCTATCCATCCATCCATCATGCATCCATCATCCATCCTTCCATTCATCCACATCCATCCTCATCCATCCTTCTATCCATCCATCTAACATCCATCATGCATCATGCATCCATCATCCATCCTTCCATTCATCCATATCCACCTGTTGTTCGTTCTTCCATCCAACCATCTAACAATAATCTATCATTACCTGTACTTCTATCTATCTGTCCATCATTCATCTTTCTATCTATCCATATCCATCCATCCTTCTATCTGTCATCCATCCACACAGGGCAAGCACAAGTCACCCAGATAATGCCATCACAGACTTATGCCCTCATCACAGAATGGCATCCATATTCACTCATCCATCATTCATCCAAATATCATCCAGCCTTCTTTCCGTCTATCCATCCACATCTACCCATCTATCCATCATCCATAATCCATCCTTCTATCCATCCACATCCACCCGTCCATCTTCTATCCATCCATTATCTATCCTTCTACCATCCATCCATCTATCCATCCATCATCCATCCTTATATTCATCTATCCATCATCCCATCCATCATATACCCTTCTATCCATCCACTACATCTACCCTTCCATCCATCATCCATAATCCATCCTTCTACCCATCCATCCATCATCAACCATTATCCATCCTTCCACCCATCCATCCATCATCATCCATTATCCATCCTTCCACCCATCCATCCATCATCATCCATTATCCATCCTTCCAGCCATCCATCCATCTTTATTATCCATCCTTCCACCCATCCATCCATCATCATCCATAATCCATCCTTCTACCCATCCATCCATCATCTATTATCCATCCTCCTACCCATCCATGCATCATAATTCATTATCCATTCTACCCATCCATCCATCATCCATTATCCAACCTTCCACCCATCCATCCATCATCATCCATTATCCATCCTTCCACCCATCCATCCATCATCATCCATTATCCATCCTTCTACCCATCCATCCATCATCATTATCCATCCTTCCACCATATATCCATCATCAACCATTATCCATCCTTCCACCCATACATCTGTCTGTCATCCATACATACATCCATCACCCATCCATCCAACCATTCAGCCATACACCCATTTATGGCCCTATCCAACTCTCAACCTATCCAGCCATCTGCAAGGTTCATGCAGCAGACAGTGTAAGGGGGATAATGAGACACAGTGCTTGCCCTTAGGATTTATAGACTAGTGAGGAAGACAGACCCATAAGCTGACTGTTGCAAAGTGCTGATCGTTGTTACAGTAGAGGACAGCAGGAAGCACCAAAACCATTAAATGCCACAAAAGAGCATCACCCGTACATAAGCCAGGGTCTCATTGCCCATGTTGGGTTTTATTACTGTATGAATGTATTTCTCAAAGCACTCCCAGTTTTGATCCAAGAAAAGTATTAGAAACTACTAGTAACACTGCAACAAATGAGAAGAGTCACTCATCCATCCTTCGGGCCCCTACTTGTGAAGTACTACTGTGGCCAGGCACATTCAGGTGACTCAGCAGAGGAGGACGCAGACCCAAGTCTCTGCCTCTGGGTGTTTATCTTCCCCTGCGGGGATGGACACAAGGCCACAGGTAACAACGAGTAGCCCACGGGGCTGAGACTCCTTCCTAGAGGGAGGGAGGGCAGTGTGTCCCAACCCCACGGGGCAGAGGTTCCCTCCTGGAAGGAGGGCAGTGTGCCCCAACCCCATGGGGCAGAGGTTCTTTCCTAGAAGGAGGGCAGTGCACCCCAAACCCACGGGACAGATGTCCAGAGCTGGGGATGCCCTTGACTATGGACGGAGACTGGTTCGTGGTTCTCAGCGGGGCCATGGCCACGGGTGCACAGTGGAAACCACCCTCTAGAAGCCGTGGAATAGCCAGTAACCCAGCTGCCCAGTGAGAAAACTCCCATTTCGTGCCTCTGTGGAAGTACCTGTGATATGTGTGTGTGAGAGAGTGTGTGAGCCATGGTGTGTGGATGTGCATGTCTCCCTGTGTGTGTGAGAGTCTTGGTGTGTAGATGTGTGCATCTCCCTGTGTGTGTGTGAGCCATGGTGTGTGGATGTGCACATTTCCGTGTGTGTGCACGCACCATGGTATGTGGATGTGTGCATCTCCCTGTGTGTGAGCCATAGTGTGTGGATGTGCACATCTCCCTCTGTGCGTCTGTGTGTGTGGATATGGATGTCTCCCTCTGCGTGTGTGTGTGTGCACGCCATGGTGTGTGGATGTGTGCATCTGTGTGTGAGATGTTTGTGGATGTGTGTGTGAGCCATGGTGTGTGGATGTGCATGTCTCCGTGTGTGTGTGTGTCTGAGAGCTGTGGTGTATAGATGTGTGCATCTCCCTGTGTGTGTGTGAGCCATGGTGTGTGGATGTGCACATCTCCGTGTATGTGTGCATGCACCATGGTGTGTGGATGTGCACATCTCCTTCTGTGTATGTGTGTGTGTGTGTGCTGTGGTGTGTGGATATGGACATCTCCCTCTGTGTGTATGCACCATGGTGTGTGGATGTGTGTGTCTGTGTGTGTGTGTGTGTGCATGCTCACACCATGGTGTATGGATGTGCGCATCTCCCTGTGTGTATGCATGCTGTGGTGTATGTGCACATCTCCCTGCATATGTGAGCCAAGGTGTGTGGATGTGCATGTCTCTCTGTATGTGTGTTTGTGTGAGCTGTGGTGTGTGGATGTGTGCATCTCCCTCTGTGTGTGTGTGTGTGTGTGTGTGAGAGAGAGAGAGCCATGATGTGTGGATGTGCACATCTGTGTGTGTGCATGTGTGAACCATGGTGTGTGAATGTTCGTGTCTCCCTGTATGTGTGTATGTGTGTGAGCTGTGGTGTGTGGATGTGTGCATCTCCCTCTGTGTGTGTGTGCATGCACGTGTTCTGTGGTGTATGTGTGCATCTCCCTGAGTGTGTGTGAGAGCCATGGTGTGTGGATGTGTGCATCTTCCTGTGTGTGTGTGTGTGAGAGAGAGAGAGAGCCATGGTGTGTGGATGTGCACATCTCTGTGTGTGTGAACCATTGTGTGTGGATGTGCGTGTTCCCCTCTGTGTGTGTCTGTGTGTGAGAGAGAGAGCGTGTGTGAATGTCTGTGTCTCCCTATACATGTGTGTGAGAGCCGTGGTGTGTGGATGTGCATGTTTCCCTCTGTGTGTGTATGTGAGAGCTGTGTGTGGATGTGTGCATCTCCCTGTGTGTGTGTGCATCATGGTGTGTGGATGTGCATGTGTGTGAGCTGTGGTGTGTGGATATGTCTCCCTGTGTGTATGTGCATGTGCTTGTGAGCCATGGTGTGTGGATGTGCATGTGCGTGTGTGTGTGTGTGTGAGCTGTGGTGTGTGGATGTGTGTGTCTCCCTGTGTGTATGTGGGTGAGCCGTGGTGTGTGAATGTGCATCTCCCCATGTGTGTGTGAGCTCTGGTGTGTGTGTTTGTGTCTCCTTGTGTGTGTGTTTGAGAGCTGTGGTGTGTGGATGTGCACATCTCTGTGTGTGTGGGAACCATGGTGTGTGGATGTGCATGTCTCCCTGTATATGTGAGCTGTTTGTGGATGTGGGTGTCTGCCTGTGTGTGTGTGTGCATGTGTGTGAGCCATGGTGTGTGGAAGTGCGTGCCTCTGTTTTGTGTGTGGTTGAGCCATGGTGTGTGAATGTGCATCTCCCTGTGTGTGTCCGAGCCACCATGTGTGGATGTGCATCTCCCTCTGTGTGTGTGTGTGTGTGTGTGTGAGAGAGAGAGAGAGAGAAAGAGAGCCATGGTGTGTGGATGTGCATGTCTCCCTGTGTGTGTGAGAACTGTGGTGTGTGAATGTGCATGTCTCCCTGTGTGTGTGAGCCATGGTATGTGGATGTGCATGCCTCTGTGTGTGTGTGTGTGTGTGTGTGTGAGAGAGAGAGAGAGAGAGAGAGAGCTGTGATGTGTGGATGTTGGCGTCTGTGTGTGCATGTGTGTGTGAGCCATGGTGTGTGGATATGCGTGCCTCCCTGTGTGTGTGTTTGTGAGCTGTGGTATGTGCATGTGTGCATCTTGCTCTGTGTGTATGAGAGACCCATGGTGTGTGGGTGTGGGTGTCTCCCTGTGTGTCTGAGCCTTGGTATGTGCATGTGTGTGTCTCCCTATTTGTGTGTGTGTGAGAGAGCGGTGGTGTGTGGGTGTGTGTCTCCTTGTGTGTGTGTGTGAGCCATGGTGTGTGTGTCTCCCTGTTGTGTGAGCCATGGTGTGTGGGTGTGTGCATCTCCGTGTGTGTGTGCATGTGAGCCATGGTGTATGGGTGTGCATCTCCCTGTGCATGTGCGTGTGAGCCGTGGTGTGTGGATGTGTATGCCTCTCTGTGTTTGTGTGTATGTGACCTGTGGTGTGTGGATGTGTGTGTCTCCGTGTGTGTGTGTGGGGGGTGAGCTGTGGTGTGTCAATGTGCACCTCCCTGTGTGTGTCTGAGCTGTGGTGTGTGAATGTGTGCGTGTGTGTGAGCCATGGTGTGTGGGTGTGCATGTCTCCATGTGTAAGAGCCATGGTGTGTGGATGTGTGTGTCTGTGTGTGTGTGAGCTGTGATGTGTGGATGTGTGTCACCCTGTGTGTGTGTGAGCCGTGGTGTGAATGTGTGTTTCCCTGTGTGTATGTCTGAGCTGTGGTGTGTGAATGTGTGCATCTCCCTGAGTGTTTGTATGTGTATGTGAAAGCCGTGGTGTGGATGTGCATGTCTCCCTGTGTGTGTGTGTGAGCCATGGTGTGTGGGTTTGTCTCCCTGTGTGTGTGGGTGGGTGCATCTCCCTGTGTGTGGGTGCATGTGAGCCATGGTGTGTGGGTGTGCATGTCTCCCTGTGGGCATATGTGAGCTGTGGTGTGGGTGTGCACATCTCCCTGTGTATGTGTGTGTGCATCTCCGTGTGTGTGTGTGAGCCATGGTGTGTGGATGTGTGTGTCTCCCTGTGGGCATGTGTGAGCCATGGTGTGTGGATGTGCATGTCTCCCTGTGGGCATGTGTGAGCCATGGTGTGTGGATGTGCATGTCTCCCTGTGGGCATGTGTGAGCCATGGTGTGTGGATGTGCGTGTCTCCCAGGGTGTGTGAGCCATGGTGTATGGATGTGCATGTCTGTGTGTGTGTGTGAGCTGGGTGTGTGTGTGTGAGTTGTGGTGTGTGGATGTGTCTCCCTGTGTGTGTGTTAGCTGTGGTATGTGGATATGTGTGTCTCCCTGTGTGTTTGAGCTGTGGTGCATGGGTGTGCGTGTCTCCCTGTCTGTATACATGTATGTGAGCCGTGATGTGTGGATGTGCATGTCTCCATGTGTATGTGTGAGCTGTGGTGTGTGAGTGTGTGTCTCCCTGTGTGTGTGCCTGAGCCGTTTGTGGGTGTGTCTTCCTGTGTGTGCATGTGTATGTGAGCTGCAGTGTGTGGGTGTGTGTGTCTCCCCGTGTGTGTACACACATGTTTTGTGGGTGTGCTCCCACATCTGCCTGCATATAATCAAACTTTTGGGGCAAAGGCTTAACACCAACTCTCTGTGCCTGTCAGTGTGATTTACGGGGAAACAAGCAGAAACAATCACGTGTTTGGTTTGCACATTCATGACAAGCAATTCGGTGGCTCCCAGGGACGAGCCACCGCCCAGATGGCAAGAGGAGCCCGGCTGGGGAGGAGATGGAGACAGCACAGCCCACCAAGGACCTGCCTCAGGAGGATGCAGAAACAGTTTCTAGGCCTGTGATTTTAGAGAAAACTTGTTCATTTAGAGGTGAAAAGTGTGTGTGTGGTGTTGTGTGGTGTTATATGGTGTCTGGTGTAGTATGTGTTGTGTGTTCTGTGTGGTTTGTGATGTGTGTGGTGTGTGTGCTATGTTAAATGTGATGTGTAGTGTGTGGTATATGTTGTGTGCACTGTGTTGCATGTGGTGTGTGCTCTATGTGCTCTGTGCATGGTGTGTGGTGTGTGTGGTATGAGTTGTATATGTTGTCTGTGCTGTGTGCTGTGTTGTGTGTGCTTTGTGTGTTGTGTGTATTGTATGTGTGTGTGGTATGTGCTCTATTGTGTGTGGTGAGTTGTGTGTGGTGTGTATACTCTGTGTTGCATGTTATGTGTGGTGTGTGGTATGTTGTATGTGCTCTGTGTGGTGTGGTGTGTGTTGTGTTGTTTCATGTGGTGTGTTGTGTGATGTGAGTTGTATGTGGTGTGGTGTGAGTTGTGTGTGGTGTGTGGTACATGCTTTGTGTGGTGTATGTTGTGTGTGTTATGTGTGGTGTGTGCTCTGTGTGTGTGTGTTGTATGTGATGTGAATTGTGTGGTGTGTGTGGTGTGTGCTCTGTGTGGTTTGTGGTGTGTGTGGTGTGAGTTGTGTGTGTGGTATGTGCTGTGTGTTGTGTGTTGTGTGGGGTGTGTGGTGTGTGTGTCAGTTGCATGTGGTGTGTGTAGTACATGCTCTGTGTGGTGTGTTGTGTGTGTGGTATGTGCTCTGTGTGGTGTGTGGTGTGAGTTGTGTGTGGTGTGTGTGGTATGTGCTCTGTGTGGTGTGTTGTGTGTGGTATCTGGTGTATGTGTTGTCAATGGTGTGTGGTGTGTGTGGTACGTGCTCTGTGTGGTGTGTTGTTTTGTGTGTAGTATGTGCTGTGTGGTGTGTGGTGTGTGGTGTGCATGTTGTCAGTTGTATGTGGTGTGTGTGGTATGTGCTCTGTGTGGTGTGTGTGGTGTGTGGTGTGAGTTGTGTGTGTGTTGTGTGGGGTGTGTGGGGTGTGTTGTGTGTGGTATGTGGTGTGTTGTCAGTTGTGTGTGGTGTGTGGTACGTGCTCTGCGTGGTGTGTTGTTTTGTGTGAGGTGTGTGCTGTGTTGCATGTGCTCTGTGTGGTGTGTGTTGTGTGGGGTGTGTGTGTGGGATGTGCTCTGTGTGGTGTGTGTTGTGTGGGGTGTGTTGTATGTGGTATGTGGTGTGTTGTCAGTTGTGTGTGGTATGTGTGGTACGTGCTCTGTGTGGTGTGTGTGGTGTGTGTGGTACGTGCTCTGCATGGTGTGTTGTTTTGTGTGAGGTGTGTGCTGTGTTGCGTGTGCTCTGTGTGGTATGTGGTGTGTGTAGCATGAGTGGAGAGGGAAGTTTGTTGTGTAGGAAGTGGCACTCGCTGAGAGGCAAGACAGCCACTGCACCCACCCATGGGGAGACCCACTGCGAAGCCGTCTGAGTTGAGTTCTGCAGAATGAAATCTTACTTTTTAACGTCGACTCCTTCAGCCCAGGAAACGACAGTGCACACAATGACAGGTGTACTCACAATGTGTCGTGCGGCAAACACGCCGTCCACGATGGCACAGCAGAAGGCGGCCACCACACCAAAGCTGATAAACACTATCGCTGCCACCAGCTGCAATGGAAGAAGAGGTGTGAGGGTCCAGCTCTCAACAGCCCCGCTTTTCAAATGCAGACAGTGCGAAGCCCCAGCTCCAGGTCAGGCTTCTTTCGCAGAAGTATCTCTTCCCACCTCCACCTCCCAGGACTCACAGCCCAGGGCAGCCCCCAGATTCCACCCTGTGGGTCATCCTCATGCATTTATTCCACAACACCCACCCGGGAACCTTCTGCACGGAAGGGTGTCACCATCACCTGGGCCCTCAGCCCACTCCTCTGAGAAGCAACCCTCAGTGCAGGCCATGTGCACAGCTCTAACCTGAGTGCTCATGACACACACACCCGGAGTACAGGCCATGTGCACGGCTCTGACCTGTGTGCTCATCACACACACACCCTGAGTGCAGGACGTCTGCACAGCTCTGATCTGTGTGCTCATCACACACACACACCCTGAGTGCAGGCCGTGTGCACGGCTCTGATCTGTGTGCTCATCACACACACACCCTGAGTGCAGGCCGTGTGCATGGCTCTAATCGCTCATGACACAAACACCCTGAGTGCAGGCCGTGTGCACGGCTCTGACCTGTGTGCTCATGACACACACACCCTGAGTGCAGGCCGTGTGCACGGCTCTGACCTGTGTGCTCATGACACACACACCCTGAGTGCAGGCCGTGTGCACGGCTCTGACCTGTGTGCTCATCACACACACACCCTGAGTGCAGGCCGTGTGCACGGCTCTGACCTGTGTGCTCATCACACACACACCCTGAGTGCAGGCCGTGTGCACGGCTCAGACCTGTGTGCTCATGACACACACACCCTGAGTGCAGGCCGTGTGCACGGCTCTGACCTGTGTGCTCATCACACACACACCCTGAGTGCAGGCCGTGTGCACGGCTCTGACCTGTGTGCTCATGACACACACACCCTGAGTGCAGGCCGTGTGCACGGCTCTGATCTGTGTGCTCATCACACACACACCGAGTGCAGGCCGTGTGCACAGCCTTAAGGTAATTGGTCTTAAGGTAATTGATCAGCTACACACAGTGTTGCACAGCCTGTTTTTCTTACCTATTGGTCCTGGAGCCAGGAATGGTTTATAATGATTTGTATTTAACCAGTTCCCATGGATGGATATTTAAACAGTTGGCAATTTCTTGCCACGATAAACTGCTACAAAACGGGGTTTCCTGTCCCAACCCTGAAAGCTGGCATGGAGTCTCCATCCCCATGGGCCCCGGGGGAGGGGTGCTCTTGTTCTCTTTTAGTGCCTTGCTCCGCACCATGCTGGGCAGAGCGGATCCTCCTGAACAGCCGCTGAAAACTGTGGCTCCGAGTTAGGACCCGCTTGGTTCCTTCCGCAGGGATGAGTTGCCGGCTGGTGAGAGAGGTCCTGGTGACGAGCAGGACCCGTTGGTGACAGCAGGAGGGCCTGCAGCCCAGCACCGTGGTGCAGCTCCAGGGGCACGGACAGCCTGAGTCTGTTCTGACCCATCCTTCACACCAAGCAAGACGGCAGTGCTCGTCCGGACCACTAAGCTCTGGTCACAGCGGAACTGACCAAGCACGGTGGTCTCCTCCTCCGCACACTCTCAAAGATGCCCAGTGGAGGCACCTCGGCCTTCCTTCTCCCCAGGGAGCCCAGTGTGGAGAGATGAGTTTCATCAACCATGACCCTCCTGTGGAACTGCCATGGCCTCTTCCCCCTGACGTCAGTGTGGCCCTGTGTGCCCCCTCTGCCCTGGGCTGCACACCTATTATCACCCACAACCCAGACGGCGGCCAAATCCAGCCCATCTGCCTCAGCTCTAATACCACCCGCTGGATTCGCAGATGGGACACATTTCCAGCAGGCCACATGGCAGCAGAAGGCGGGGGCATGGCGGGCACAAACCTTGCCGGCCATGGGCCCGTGGTGGCCACCTGCCCCTCCCTCTCCTTCCAACCCTCCCCACACCACAGGCCTGCTGGGGGTCCTCCCTGGAAGCTCCATCAGAGCCAGTTCAGGGTGCAACACGCTCCTGGCAAAGCCCCTTTGCAGAGGAAAGTGCAGCTTCTCTTTTAAACAGTGGGCATCCTCACTGTGAATCTGGGTGTTTTTATCCCTCAGCAGAGGAAGAGCTGTCAATCAGTAGCTTCCTGGCGAGTCCATGCTCGAGAGTCACAAATGGCACCTGGTACCACATGTGAGTGCTGAGGCGGTGGGGCTGGCACAGCAGCCAGAGAGCAAGTCCATGAGTCAGTGCACCCTGGGGCGGGTCCCAGATGGACACGGTCCCTGCTTGAGTCACAGAGAGACGGTTCTTCCACCTGCTGGCACCTTTCTTCTAAGGCGACTTTCAGCCACAGCAGATCAGACGAGGTGTTCTTAGAACTCAGTCATTGAGCGTGTGCGCTTCCAAAATACATATTTCAGGTTTGCGAGAAGAGGCAGGTCTGAAAAAAGTCTGGGCAGTTCGTACGAAGCTGAACACCCCTGAGCTTTGGCTCCCAGTGGCTACTCAAGGGGGCGGAGGAAGATGTGGCTGCCAGACCCAGGCCAGCACAAGTTCTCAGGGTGGCTTCAGACCGGAGCCCTTGGCCTCGCACCCCCCACCTCCCCAGGCAGAGCAGAGCAGAGCAGAGCTGCATGCTGAGTGCTTCCGGGGGATTCTCCGAACTGCTGGGCTGGACTCGCCCCTCGTGGTCCTTGGATACCCCTCTGGAAAGGGCGGTGCGAGGCTGACTTACTCACGAGCGTAATGGATGCTCCACATGGCGTGTGCAGCCTGGTGCTGCAGACGCAGATGGGAAGGAAACAGCCACCCTGCCTCCCGAGACACACACATCTGGCATTTTGTCATCAGTTGCCTAAAAGAAAGTTGAGGTGCTCCCAGGAGGAAGCCGTGCAGAAAACCATGGCTGCATCAGCCTGCATCATACCAAACACTTATTTCTATTTGGAATTTCCACCTAACTGCTCTGGTTCGATTGACTAATGACCAATCCCATCGCATGGTGTAGCTGCCCCGTGTGCTGGAGGAACAGACAGACGAGGCAGGTTCCCCCTTGAAGAGTGGACCCCGGCTGATGGCTGCCACAGCCAGAGCATAAACCAGGGCTCTGGGCGTACACAGAGGAAAGGCCCACTTCACCCTGAAAAGAAGGGAAGCCTTGAGCTAGCCCTGGAAGGATCAGAATTTCCTCAAGGGGAGACGAGGAAGGTGCTGGGGGCTGCTCATCGGTGGGTGGGGCAGAGGCCATGTGGTGCAGGGTTGAGGTGAGCTGCAGCCACCGTGTTACTGTCAGAAGGTCGTCAATGCCGAGGACGAGTGGCGGAAGGCAGCACACTCCCCTCCCCTTCCCAGAGAAAAAGTGAAACTTCTGCATACAAGTAAAACGACTATTATGCAGAGCTGTGTAGATAGTGGGCAGAAATGACACCTAACTGAAATTTCCCACAGCCGGTTAGGTCTAAATACGTAAAATGCATTAAAAATGTAACTGTTTGAACAAATACAAAAAAAACACATAGATAGGGCTAAGAGGGCAACATTTGAGGTTTCGCAGTCGGGGCCAGGCTATGGGCCCCTCCACTTTCCCAGAGGAAGAGGAAGGTGGGCCACCAGCAGGCCACGTCCCCAGCTCCGGGGCCTCCTGCAGTTCCAGGGGTTGCTCCTCCCCACAGCGCACTCTTCTCACGGTGCCAGCCTGGATCAGGGGGCCGCACGCCTTGCTCTAGCATTGCGGGGAGAGCACATCACACCCTACCACACCTGCAGAGATGCTTCCAGCGTTAAATGTGAGGACGCAGAGGGGGGTGGCCAGGCACAACTGCTGCTCTTTCCTGCAGAACACCCAGGTTTTCTGTTGGGCACAATTCCCAGCCAACAGAGGGCAGAAGGAAATGAGACTTAAAGAGGAATAAAGTCACTTTAAAGCCTCCAAAGTCCTTTCCCTCAGCACACCCGCTAGTCCACACATCTGTGACGTCATCATCACTACTGGCATTTTGCAGCTGCGCCTCTAAGGACCTGGGGCTGCAAGCACCCTCCCCCCTCCTGGCTGGGCTGACTACCCTCAGAGCCCCTGGTGTCCCCAGGGAGACATCTCTCCACATGGAGTCGCTCCCTCAGATTCCTGAGGGGTCTGTGGCCAGTGTGGTTCCCCCAGATCCATTGGGGCTGCCTCCAGGAAGCCCACGTGCACAGTCAGTGTCTAAATGCCTCTAGGATGTCCATGTGCACAGTAGGACAACACTGGGATGCCCACATTCATGGTCAGTGCTGGGGTGTCCATGTGCAGGGTCAGCAGAGGGCCGGGATGTCCACATGCAGGGTCAGTACAGGGCCGGGTCGTCCACGTGCAGGGTCAGTACAGGGCCGGGGCGTCCACGTACAGGGTCAGTACAGAGCCGGGGTGTCCACGTGCAGGGTCAGTACAGGGCCGGGGCGTCCACGTGCAGGGTCAGTACAGAGCCGGGTTGTCCACGTGCAGGGTCAGTACAGGGCCGGGGCGTCCACGTGCAGGGTCAGTACAGAGCCGGGGTGTCCACGTGCAGGGTCAGTACAGGGCCGGGTCGTCCACATGCAGGGTCAGTACAGGGCCGGGGCGTCCACGTGCAGTGTCAGTACAGAGCCGGGGTGTCCACGTGCAGGGTCAGTACAGGGCTGGGGTGTCCAAGTGCCCAGTCAGTTCAGTGCTGAGTCACAAATCACAGCTGGGAGTGGGGGACCCGCAAGCCTCCCTCTCTGCCCTGCAGTGTTTCGCTTGGAAGGCAGCCCTTGTCAGGTATTAAAAGTGCAGGTGGAAACCCGAAGGCAAAACCAGTGCCTGCATTTAGGGCAACAAACTTCGGGAAAGAGCTCTTAGCCTGGGCACTTTGCCAGTGACAGAGCAAGAGCTTCGCCATCCTGGACAAACACCACGGTTTTAAATTCCTCTTGATTAAAAACCACCTAAATCCAGCCCAAAAAACATCAACCTTACGGCTAATGTCAGCATGACCATAAACCACAAATGACACCTCTGACCAGAAACATTCCAACCCTGCAATAAAACATACACACTCACTCTCTCTCTCTCTCTCTCTCTCTCTCTCTCTGACATGGGACACTAATCCAGCTGACTGGTAAGACCTGCCTCCCCACCCCCCGCTGTCTGGAGGTACCCGGAGTCAGGTCTGCCATCCCAGCTCCCAGAGGACCAGGGGACTAAGTTGGAAGAAACTCTGGGAAGCCCAATCTCTTCTCAGCTTAACTGTCCTCTTTATAAAAGAGGATTCCAGGTCTCTGTCTTTTTTCTGGAGACACCTAGAACAAAAACAGACACCCTCAGCCCGCTCTAACCAGCCCACATGGGAGCCAAACAATTCCACATTCCCACGTCCTCCCTGCTCGACCATCTGCTTCACAACCTCGCCAATCTTGGCTTACAGGGGAGCCTAATGCCAAAGCGTTTAGGTTTTCATTGTAACACAGCCTGGCACCAGTGCAAACTAGATAATGACAGCCAATGGCCCAAAACCAGAAACTTTGACTCAAATTCTCAGGGACCTTGACAACTTTATAACCAGGAACAGCAAATGGCAAGAGGTTCCCTATATTCAGGCTTTCTTCTGCCCTCCCCACGTCAAGCTTGCACCCCTCATGAAATCCTTGTTGATGAAAACCTCCCCAGGTCTCTCCTTCCTCTGAAACCCCTTTGACCCTGCAGATGAACCCCCTGCATCTGCTCCTCACCACCCAAACCCTTCACCCTGTTGGTCCCTCCTGCCCCCAAGCCTCTAGCCCCAAACCCCAACCCTCCTCCTTCTCCACCTGTCACCTGTTCAAAAACTACTCCAGCTGTTCAAAACCTGCACCTCTGCCATTCTCCCTCCCCAGCAAGTGGCTGGAGCTGAAGGCGTTGCTCGAGTTCGAGTCCCTTTCTCCGTATCTGGTTTGTCGAAGATCCAGCAGCGCCTGGAACACTTCTCTGAAAATCCCTCTCATCATCACAGGGAATTCCTGCACATACCCGACCCTTTAATTTAACTTGGCATGACATTTATATAATTCTAACTTCCACCCTCACTCCTAACAAAAGGAGCACATCTGGCCTTCCGCTGAAACACACGCAGATGAACTCCACAATCAGACCCCTTTATAAAATCAGCAGCCAAGGATGCAGCCCCCGTAGAGACCCAGACGGGACTTACCAGCGGGAGACGCTGGCATCAGGCAAAGAGGCCGCATGATCCCTTGTCTCATCGAGGGCAGGGACAAAAATGCCTATGAGGCAGATAATTATGAAAAGCTTGAGAAATTACACAAGAGCCCCAGGAAAATCCTGCCCTTTTCATGTCTCGCCGAAGCTATGCAAAAATATACCAATTTGGATGCAGAATCTAGAGATCAAACTTTTCTCCACCTCCAGTTTATTTCCCAATCCACCCAAGACACCCAGAAAAATTACCAACATTAGAGGAAGGTCCCCAGACATCTCAGTGGGACCTCCTAAACGCAGCCTTCCACATCTTTACCAACAGAAACGAGGAACAAAATTTTCAAAAAGACAAACATCTCCGTCTAAGATGCCACATGCTTGCCTGTGCCGTCCAAAAGTCAGTTACACAAAACCCTCCCGATAACCCAACAGAAGACTCTCCCATCTCTCTGGGACTCCGTTTCTGATGTGGCAACCCTGGGCACTGGGCAAAGGTTTGTCCTAACGCTGGGCCCCCACCAAACTGTGCCCAACCTGTGGTCTTTGGGGACACTGAAAAACAGCCCCCAATGGGGACACCTTCCCCATTCAGGTACGGCTCACAATGGAGCTCCCCAACCATCACAGGAGGAAATCTCTTCACTGCTGGCACTGACCACGGAGGACTGAGGGTGCCAGGACGCTCCCCCCAGTCCGGTGAGTCCACTGAACCAAGGTAATTGGGACGGTATCTGGCAGGTTCAAATCAAGATGGAGTCAGTTAGTCAGATCGTTTTCACTGTCTCAGTTGTAATTCTGCAATGGCGGCTTCAAAACTTTCAATGACTATCACAGTTTACATAAATAATCTAGGCAAATGATTAAACAGATAAATATGACGGGACAAATGCCTGTAAACAAACTTGTCATTTGGAATCTGAAGTTACATTTAATTAAACCACAGCTGTTTCATTATTTAGGTATTTTCCAATAAAAATATTATAGGAAAACGTTCTTTCTAAAAGTTGTGTCCTTTTTAAAGGGTAAATAATTTGTGTCTAATTGAAAGCTTATTTAAAGGTTACATAGAAAACAACGTGAACGAAACTAGGAAATAAGAGAGGCATAAAGAAAGTTATAAATATAAAAAGAGTTTTAAAGACTAATGGTAAAAAAGAAAATCTCCAAATATGTAAACATTTGATCTAAATTATGCAGGTCAAACATTAGGTTTGTTAAATGCTTTAGGTCATAAACTGCTTCTTTGACTTAAAATTATTTAATTTATTTTGGAGTGTTCAATTCTAGACAAGGCCTGGGGACATCTGAAATTCGCCAAGCCCCTAGCTATGAGATTCTATATGAGAAGGGCTCTTGTAGGATAAATTCTTGTCCTAAAGTAAAATAACTGGTTGGTTGAAGAGAGGGAGGTTTGGGACAAGTCAGAAAGTCAAGGTGTGTCATAGCTTGTCTGTGCTGTCATGGAAGAATTTAGAAAACGGAATGTATGCAAGAAATGTTGTATAATTTAAAGGTGATGAGGCTTCCTAAACACTTTATAAAATGTCACTATGACTCTTAGCTGCACAACGTGCCTGCTTTGCAGCTAGGTAAGGCCTGGGACCCCTGGATTAGGAGCTGAAATGAGTCAGGCAGTACCCACACTGCCGTCTGGGTCCCAGGCTCCACCCCAGTACACCATTAAAATCCCAGACTTACCAAGGTTTTCAGCAAAGGTAAAGGTTGCTAAGAGTTACCAGAGTAACGTGTGTTTAAGACAACTGAAGAAACAGTTTACACGCAAGGTGTGTAAGGAAATAAAACATGCTTTTGGTAAAAAGATTATAAGGAGGCATGAGAATGTGAATTTTTGCCTAGATTAAAAGGCTAAAGGTTTTAAGTTGGATAAAATAAAAATGAAGGTTTGAGCAAGGCGGGAAATGTTGACTGTGAAGGAAATTCTGTGTGAAAACACGCTGGCTAACGTTAAAGGGATATCCTCCAACTTTTCAGTAAATGAGGCATTAAAATCAAAGCACAATGGGTTTCTCTTAGGGTGTTAACCTGCTCTTTTACAAAAATCGTCAAGAGTTATAAAAGGTCCATAGAAATCTTACCTTATGGTCAAACATTAAAATTGGGCAAATAAGCTTTGATTAAGAATTGGATCTAACATTAATATTACAGTAACGTAAAGGTGAAATCTGGCTTATTCTGTATAAAAATAACCAGGAAGCATTAGTCAAATATGAAATGGTGTTTGGCTTTCTTTAGGCTAAATTTGTATAAATATGTTCCAAGGTTATGGGAGACACCTCTAATTCGGATATATTTAGCATATGTTATCAGTAATGACTATAATTGCTATGTTAAAATTATTGTGTGCCACAGGCAACAGATTTCCTTGTCAATTGTGTCCTTTTTTTTTTTTTTGAGATGGAGTTTTGCTTTTGTCACCCCGGCTGGAGTCCAGTGATGCGATCTCAGCTCACTACAACCTCCATCTCCCGGGTTCAGGCGATCCTCCTGCCTCGGCCTCCAGAGTAGCTGGGATTACAGGAGCCTGACACCACAATCAGCTAATTTTTATGTTTTTAGTAGAGACGGGGTTTCGCCATCTTGGGCAGGCTGGTCTTGAACTCTGGACCTCAGGTCATTTGCCTGCCTTGGCCTCCCAAAGTGCTGGGAGTACAGGCGTGAGCCCCTGCACCCAGCCTCAATTGTGTCTTAACTATGGCTACCCTAAAACTTGTGGTTTTTTTTTTTTTGAGACGGAGCTTCTCTCTTGTTACCCAGGCTGGAGTGCAATGGCGCGATCTCGGCTCACCGCAACCTCCACCTCCTGGGTTCAGGCAATTCTCCTGCCTCAGCCTCCTGAATAGCTGGGATTACAGGCACGTGCCACCATGCCCAGCTAATTTTTTGTATTTTGAGTAGAGACAGGGTTTCACCGTGTTGACCAGGATGGTCTCGATCTCTTGACCTCGTGATCCACCCGCCTCGGCCTCCCAAAGTGCTGGGATTACAGGCATGAGCCACCGCGCCCGGCCCCCCAAAAACTTTCTGTCATTCGAAAGCAACGTTGTCTTGTTTCGGTGCTCATTAGAAGGCAGTTTTTGAATCAGCTACGAAGCTCTGACGGGTGCTCTTGAATGCAAGTTTCTGATAACTTTTGTGACAGCAGAATAGAGGGAAAACGTTCAGGACTCCTGAAGAGCTAAAATGTTCATGAGCATCAAGCAGGACAGGAATTAGCTCCATGAACTGAACTGATGGGACACTGGGGTGATCTTTTTGACACTCCATTTGCTTAAAATGTGGCCAATCTTTTGTTTTGCTTTTCAGAGATAAAACTTTTCTTTTGAGCTGTTGGCGGCTCTTAACAATTTAGTATATTCCCATGAACAAATTTGGAGCATATTTCTCTCTTCCTGGTTTTCTCCGGAATTTGGAAGCTCTCTGCGCATATTCGTAAGTTGTGGCGATACAGTGATTTGCATAAGTGCAATGAGAACCCGTGTCTTTTGTAACAGGCACAACTGGAGACACCTGTCATTTCACTGAGGCTTTGATTGGAAGGTTGTGCTTTCCTTCCGGAATCGAGCACGACTTAAGCCAAGAAAGCCCTTAGAGCCGGGCCTCGCATTCTGTGCACACTGTCCCCTGTGCAGGTTCTGACCTGTGGTATGTAAAAATGTCGCTTTCTGACAGCCGGGAACCCCAGATTATCCTGGGACCTCAAGAAGACTGGAATGTACCCAACTCATAGATATCTGATGGTAAATTCCACGGCTGGGCTCAGCTTTAAAAAGCCTTATCTCCGGTTCCTTCTATAAAACAAAGATCCATCAAAGACAATTTAAAAGACCGGTGTGAAAAACAATCATTCTTGCTCTCTGTGCACAAGTAATTAGGCCAAATATAATAAAGCAAACCAGTCCTACCATCATTTGTCTTAATAAAAATGGAAAACTGGGGAGAGAAAATTATGTTTCAAAAACTATAGCACACCTAGTAGTGTTAAATTCTAGTCTTGCCTGATGATTTTCAATTTTTATTATTTTCTACAGTTTGGATTAAATTCTAATTTTTCTGGCTACAAGTCTCCAAAATAATGTTTTCGATTTTTCCTTTTTCTGCACTTTTCTAACTGGAAATCACTGAAACCTAAGCTGTGCTTTCTTAAAGTCCCATAAGCCGAAGACTAGATGTTTCAGCAGACGCTGCCTCTCAGGCCCTGAAACAGAGACTGCTGCCAGAACAAATCACCCTCTTCCACCCCAGTGCTGCGTTCGGTGCCCCAAAATGGTGACTCTCTCGGCAGGAAGTGGCCAGAAAGAACACACTGCCCCCCGTCATTTTACAACTCTAGGATCTGGATTAACGACAGAAGCATCACCATCTTGGACAAACACCACCATTTTAAGCTCCCCTTGATTAAAAACCACCAAAATCCAGCCCAAAAAACAGCATCAACCTAATGCCTAATGTCAGCATGACCATAAACCACAAATGACACCTTGAACCGAAAACATGCCAACACCGAGATAAACTCCCCTTGGACCGAAACATTCCAACCCTGCCATAAAACTCCCTTCCACCCAAAAACATCCTGAACCTGCCATAAGCTCCCCCTCCCTAAACCCTTAAATACACCTAGTCTGTAAGAGAGAACACTCCTGACCAGAAGCCCCTCTCAGGCTTATTCTCCAAAATAACCGTCTCTGACTGTTGAGCTGCTTTTCTTTCTTCTTTCTTCAACTCTTGCAGCCAGTGGCCAGGAGTGAGCATTTGTGGTGTTTCTCTGTGGTCAGCGGAGGCCCTGACTCAGCTATAAAAAGATCAACAAAAACCTAATGCCAGGTTCTTGAGGCAGCTGAGTGAAATTGGGACTCAACCCAGGAGAAGAGGCCGTGGTGTCACAGGTGATCATCATCCCAGCGTTACAGCAGGTGAAATGGAGACTCGGCTCGTGAGAAGATGCCACAGGTGATCACATCACATCATCACAGCAGGTGGAATCGGGACTCACCTGGAGAGATGATGCCTTGGCACCACAGGTGATCATTGTCACATCATTCCAGCAGGTAAAATCAGGACTCAGTTCCCAAGAGAAGATGCCGCAGCACCACAGAGGATCATGGTCACATCGTTACAGCAGGTGATGCTGTAGCTTGTCGCAGACCCAGCTACACATAGGCAGGTTCGGATTCTCATCTTGGTGGGAAATTACACACTGAAGCTAAATATCCCCTTTCCATGCCTTGCATCTCCACCCCTGCCCAGAATCACTAGATTCCTGTTCAGCCGGCACTTCATACTGCCCAGTTCTGCCAGACGGAAACACGCCCGTCCCGCCCTGATCCCACCGGAGTGTGGCTGTTCCAAGGCTTCCTCCACAGGAACACATCCCATCCACAACTCCTGACAAGCTCAGGGATAGCCTTGTGCTGTCCACACCCTCGGGCCCTCCACCCTGGCACAGGCAGCTGTGGGCCCCTCTCTGTGGCCCTGACCAGCCCTGATCATTCCGCAGTCATCCAGGAAACCCCCAGAGACCATGAAACCCTGCCCAGCACCACCCAGGTTGGTTACTGTTAGCAGTGGCTTCAGGCGGTGAATGACTGAGTCGGCCAAGGAGGAGGCACTGGGGGGAGGCAGAGCCACTGCGCCCACCCGGGAAGGCTCTGTCTGAGGCCAGGCTGTGCACGGCAAGGGCAGTGGCAGGAAGCACTGCCCTCATTTCCCCCATGACCTGGGGAGACGGCTCCTCCCCCTCCTTTGAGGGAACCCGGCGATTCCCCTCCCAAGACCACCCTCCCATTCGGTAGAGCCCCATAGACTGGGCAGGAGCTGTTCTAGGTGCTGAAGACACACGCATCCCACACACCATGGTCCCCACCTTCCAGGCTGACTGCAGAGTCAGCACAGTGCCGGGCGAGCTGCCCCCAGAGACAGAGCCAGATCCCGGGCCACGGCACCTCCCCTCGGCCCCACAGCAGCCTGGGGTGCGCATTGAGGGTGGAGCCGGCAGCCTCAGCCACTGTCCAGCCCTGCACTGGGGAGCCCCGCAGGTGCTCAACCTGGCTTGACAGGCATGATGACCTCACCCAGGTTATACAGCTGGCAAGAGGCTGAATCTGGGTTCAAATCCAGGTGTGCTGGGTGGAAAGAGGAGGGGCAGAGAGACAGAGAGGGAGTCAGAGAAAGAGAGACAGAGGGAGACACACAGAGAGATAGGGAGACAGAGACAGAGATAGAGAGGGAAACATGCAGAGAGACAGAGAGATAGAGGCAGAGGGGGAGACAGAGAGAGTCAGAGACAGAGAGAGAGTCAGAGACAGAGACAGAGAGACAGAGAGGGAGTCAGAGACAGAGACAGGGAGACAGAGAGGGAGTCAGAGAAAGAGAGACAGAGGGAGACACACAGAGAGATGGGGAGACAGAGACAGAGATAGAGAGGGAAACATGCAGAGAGACAGAGAGATAGAGGCAGAGGGGGAGACAGAGAGAGTCAGAGACAGAGAGAGAGTCAGAGACAGAGACAGAGAGACAGAGAGGGAGTCAGAGACAGAGACAGGGAGACAGAGAGGGAGTCAGAGAAAGAGAGACAGAGGGAGACACACAGAGAGATGGGGAGACAGAGACAGAGATAGAGAGGGAAACAGATGCAGAGAGACAGAGAGATAGAGGCAGAGGGGGAGACAGAGAGAGAGTCAGAGACAGAGACAGGGAGAGAGAGGGAGTCAGAGAAAGAGAGACAGAGGGAGACACACAGAGATGGGGAGACAGAGACAGAGATAGAGAGGGAAACAGATGCAGAGAGACAGAGAGATAGAGGCAGAGGGGGAGACAGAGAGAGAGTCAGAGACAGAGACAGAGAGAGAGTCAGAGACAGAGACAGGGAGACAGAGAGGGAGTCAGAGGGAGACAGAGATGCCCGAGTGTGCCCGCATCTTCTAACAGCCGCTGAGGCTCCAGGACATGTAACTCCCTGTGAAGTGGACACAGAGACTGATCTGGCTGTGGCTTTCCATGAGGAATTCCAGGGCCTGTCCAAAAATATCTGGGTCCATGCAGATATTCGGACCCAGCCAGAAAACAAGCTGGATTTTCCAAACAAGCAGGTGTGGATGCAGCTTATATGGTGGCAAAAATAGAAATTCCAGGTGTTGGTTTCAGACGGAACACTTGGCCAGCAGACAGCACAGCGCCTGTGGCTCTAGGCAGATCCCCTAACCTGTAATCAATGCAGCCGTAGGCATTGGCTCCTAGGACCCTCGGGTGAGTGTCAGGGATGCTCAGTGTGGGTGTGGGTATGGTCTGCTGCAGGACGAGAGGAGCTTTTCCTGCTCACCAGGCATCAGCACCACTGACTCACATCAGGGGAAGACTGAGGTGGGAACAGGTCACCTGTGCCTGCTGTGCCGGGAAGCTCCAAGTCGGCTCCCCCTCCGAGTGTCACACTCACCCCGCATGTCCCGGAGGCTGCACCCCAGCCCCAGGAGTGCCCAGAGAGGCAAGGGTACTCGGACAGCAGAGAACACGGGCGTCTGACAGGAGGCCTGCTAGGGCCCAGCCCTGCTATGGCTGTGGGAGGAGCCGGCAGCTCTGAGGCGGGGCCACGTGTGCAGCCTACAGCTCGACCAGCAGCGGGGGTTGGGGGTCAGGCTCCAGCCTGTCTGGGCTCAACATGGCCATCGGCAGATGCCACAGGAAGCAGATGCCACCGAAGAAGAGAGGCACGTTTAAGAAATCAGTGCCACCAGGTCGGCCCTGAGTGGTAGGTGCACAATCCTGCAGGCCTCCAATCTCAGGGGCCAAAAAACTGGGACAAGGTTGATTTTCCTGTAACTTCGTCTAGTTCCTGTGACACATGTCCCGGCAGCCAGAAAAGAAGGCCGGGCTGGTGGCTCCCAAGTCTCTCCACGCCTCTGCCCTTGTGCCAGCTGCCCACTCTTCTCCCAAAATTAACCCAAGTCTGGAGGGTTCGGGTGGCAGCATCTTTGAGCAGAGACTGGGGGGCAGGACAGGGTCCTCTTTGACCTTCACCCTGTCCCCTGCAGGTGTGGCCTGAGGCATTTGCATGGAGGAGGTGTGAACTGGTGTTTTGGGCAGGTCCTACCACGTTTCGGGAGGGGTGGCCCAGAGGACTCAGCCTCGGCCCGCAGGCCGCACATGGCTGCACACAGAGACCACTGGGAAAGTCTGACTCGAGCCACCTGTGGGAACGCAGGGGTCCCTGGGCGGGGACGTGGGACCACTGGCCTCAGAGAAACACACACACCCCAGCGTGTGCCTGACAGGCACAGAGAGCTGGGGCCCCACTAGGGCCCCACGAGCTCGGGGGAAAGAGGCCTCAGTGGTGAGGCTGTGGGTCCAGAGCCAACCCCAAGCTAGGTTCCAGAAAGTGTGGGCACCTGTGCCCACGTCCCACCTGTGCCTGTGTGTCGCTTGTGCCCGCCCTCTGCCTATGCTCCACTCCCTAGTGATTCCCCAGGCTTGGGTGAGGTGGTGGGATTGAGAGTTGGATGGCACATGGATGGGGCCCACCTGACGCCCACCCTCCAGCACACCCAGCTCTTGTGGGACCTACCCAGGGCCGTGGGACCTTGGCTCTTGCCCTGGGCAACTCACGGTGTCCTCACCAGTGACCTGCAGAGCCACCCAGCACTGCCATCCAGGGATATCGGAAATCCACATCCTCCACCAGCCCCACCCAAAGTGGCGAAGACCCTCACAGCTTCCACAGGAGAAGGCACAGGGCCGGATGCCCCAGGAAGGCTGATGTGGCTTCCAGAACAGCAAGGCCCTGAGCAGAAGCTAACAGGGGTGGGCACAAGGAAGGCGTCCGAGACCCCACCCTCCCACACTTAGAGCAATGGAGAAAACAGGCTCAGTCCAGACCAAAGACCTGTGTGTGGTATGTGTAGTATATGTATTGTGTGTTGTGTGTAACACATGTGATGTGTATTGTGTGGTGTGTATTGTGTGATGTGTGTGTCATGTGTGGTGTGTATTGTATGGAGTGTGTGTTGTGTATTGTGTGGTGTCTGTGTTATGTATAGTGTATGTTGTGTGTTATGTGGTGTGTGCCATGTGTGTTGTGTGTGGTATATCTGGTGTGTATTGTGTGGTGTGTGTTGTGTGTGGCGTGTGTAACGTGTTATGTATAGTATATGTGGTGTATATTGTATGGTGTGTGTGGTGTGTGGCATGTATTGTGTTTAGTGTGTGTTGTGTATTGTGTGGTGTGTGCAGTGTGTATTGTGTGGTGTGTGGTGTGTGTAGTGTGTGGTGTGTATTGTGTGATGTATGTTGTGCAGTGTGTCATGTGTGTTGTGTTGTGTGTGGTGTATGTGGTGTGTATTGTGTGGTGTATATAGTGTGTTGTGTATCGTGTGTGGTGTGTGGCATGCATGTGTTTTGTATTGTGTGGAGTGTGTCATGTGTGTGTCTGTGTGTGTGCATGTACATGGGGCATAGGAGAATTGCCAGTTAACTGGCTTTATGCCCTTCCCTTTCCCATCCCTGTGGCACTGTGCCAGGTTACAGAGCTCTTCCTGAAATCAATGATTCATATGTCTGTTTGGGTAAGGAGCAAACGGTAACTCATTCATCAGTGGAAAAATATCTAAAGCTGATGTGATTTGGGGCATTCTTGAGATGTCACTGGAGGCTAACATGATAATGGGCAGGGATAATGGTGAAGCCATTTCTAACGATCAGATTCCAGCCCTTAAGTGAACAGAGTGAAATCTTTACAAATGAGATGACATCATGTCTGGAATTTGCTTCTAAACAACATAAGAAGGTGGGAATGAACAGGACATGATGGAGTTGGGTGGGGCACTGAGGGTTCATTACGTGATTCTCTCCACCCTTATATGAGCTTAAAGTTTCTGTGTAAAAATCAAAAATAAAAAGGAATTGAGAAAAAGTGTTCATGTGCATCTGTGCGCATTTGAAATGCACTCATTCTCTCTGCAGCTGACGTTCACAGCCTGCCATCCATGCCTTTTGAAGTGACTTGAAAGTTCTGACATCATGCACTTAAAATGGGTGTATAACGATGGCCACTACTTTCTGGAAACCTGTCATGGACAAGACATTCTCAGGTGCATTGGCTCCAATGTTCCCGACCACCATGCTAATGAAGCAACTGAGGCTGAAAATGCTTCAGGAAGGTTCCGAGGATCACACAGCACTCATGGGCATCCAGGTCTCAGCTATCACAA